GCAGGAGAAGAAAGTTCCCCTGATAGGCAGGCAATTTCCAGCAGAGGGAGATGGGACTAAATGTGCAAAAAAGGATTCAGCTACTCCTTTGGCCTAGAGTCCTGTAGAGAGTTGGCTACTGAGTTGTACTGGCCCATGGCTAGCTTAGAAAGCTGCCAAGCTTAAGGCTGTGGCAGGCCAGTAGGGGGTGTTCCTGCATTGAGCCACCCACCTCACTGCACCTGACCACCTTCATGGCTTCTAGTGCCTCCCTGGGGGTGCCTCACATCTGGCCAACCCCCTTCCTGGAGCACACCCGCAAGCCTGGGGGTAACGCTGCCACCACCCAGGGGTCTGGACTGTTTCTGGGCCCTGTGCCCCTAGGGTGCACAGGCCTTGGTGTCCTTGAGGGTGCTTGATCCACTGCAAAAGCTTGGGGTGCTTCCCCTAGCCTGAAGCACAAAAAAGTAGCCTCCCTTAGTCAGCTAGACCAAGGGGGCACAAAGCCATGCCTCTCCCAACAAGTTCACCACACTTGGTACAGTGAGGAACTTTATTGGTTACACTGGGAAGGCTTGGGGAAGGGGACAGGATAGAAAAGTATTGCAGAATAACCTTGGACTGATCTTGGACCTGCGCCCTCTGGGAAACACAGTTCCATCATCTCCACTCCCACTTGGAACCAGGGTGGGCACTTCCCTGGTTTGATCATAGTCTAGCAGGACTGCAGTCAGGTCCTGGCTCTTTTGCCCTCTTTTTCTTTGGATGCCTACCTCCTTCAGCTTCTCCACCAATTGGTCCACAGTCAGGTGGTCATACTTGTCAGCCATTCTAGCTATCTATACTATCCACTTGACCCAATGCCAAATTAGAGATTGTTTGCCCAAGGGTTTTCATTAACTCTATTCCCTTCCCCAAATGATGCCTTCAAGACAGCAGCTTGTCGGATCCCACTGTTACCACCACGTGTGACGGGTCATTTGGAAGCTCTCCTACACTGAGCCACCCACTTCACTGTGCCCAACCACCCTCCAGGCTCTGAGTGCCTCCCTGGGGGCACCTCACAGCCAGGCAACCCCCTTCCCAGAGCACATCCACAAGCCTGGGGGTAATGCTGCCACCACCCAGAGTTTGGACTGATCTTGGACCTGTGCCCTCTGGGAAACACAGATCTAGTAGTCCTTGAGGGTACTCAACCCACTGCAAGAACTTAGGGTGCTTCCCTCAGTCTAAAGCACAAATAGTGACCTACCTTAGTTAGCCAAACCAAGGGAACCCCAAGGCATAATCTAGACACTCTCCCAATATGTCTCTCATGCAAAGGAGAACTGTACTGGTTACAAGGAGTAGGTTTGGAATATGGTACAGGGTAGAGCAATATCAGATAAATATCGCAGGGAAAACAGTGGCATGGTAGCCTTTGATCACGCATCTGAGTTACTGCAAGCTGTATATCTAGTTAGATCTCAGGTAGCTTACTCATGAGTATCATCCAGAGGCAGGGAGAGATTTCCTCTGGAGGCAAACAGTTCATTGTTCATGAGTTTCGAGAGAGAGAGAGTTTCAGATGGTTTAGCTTCTCTGTGAGTTTTCATCATGGCTCCAGCCCCTCCTTCTGGGCAGTCCTTCACTTATACAGTCCGTATGACCTCATTTACCTGATCCAATGAAAACCAGCAACTGTTGGCTGCCAGCCAACCAATTTGAAATGCATCACTGGTTGCCAGGTAGACCAGCAGGGTCTTTAGCCCCCTCCCAGTCATGTTGGCATTGCTTAGAACAATAGGGAGTTTAAGCCCCCCACCCAGGTATGTGATGCCAGTCATGTAGGCAGAGGGAGCAGGTTTCCCCCTCCCTCAGGAATGCATCCAGCATGGTTGCTGGAAGCAGATGGAGCCAGAGGTGTCTGCCCTTTGCAGTGACCATGGTAACCAAGTTGTCAGAAAGCAGCATTTGGGGAGAGACAGAGATGGTATTCTGCCACAGAGGCTGGGGGTGATGAGGATGACAACAGGTTAGTGGAGGGACAGGTTCTCTTTGCAACCTTACCTGTGTCCTTTCCCCTCACTTTTGCCCTGGCTCATCCCTTTCTACAGCCATTAGATCTAAAGAGCTTCTCTTGCTCTGAAAGCGTGCAATCTCCTGCTTAGCACCACGTGCCAGCCAGAGGAGAAGGCTCCGGCTACTGCTTTCAGATCTGGGCTGGGTTCAATTCAATTTCATGCTATGATGCTCAGGGCCATGAACTGGTGATTAACAAGAATAACACTTAGCACAATCCAGCTCCAAAGCACTGAATAAACACTGTATAATTAACACAGACTCAAAATACTTACGGCTTTGTGATCCCTCTTCCAACCAACAGCAGCATACATGGGGCTGAATCCAAGGCCATTCAGCTGGGACTCCAGTCTGGAAACCAGGGACAGCAGGTAGTACCCCTGAGCTACCTGCCACACAGGTGCCACATTAAATTAAATGCCACAGCAGGAGTCAGGCAGGGGGCTGCCGAGTCAGAGCCTTCTCACTAGTCCATGCTGCCTCTCTCTGCTGGGCCTCTCTGGATCTTGAGGCTGTGGCTAAGCACAGCCCCTTGAGGTATAATTTGTGTCCCTGAAGGGGGACAAGGAGGTGCACAGCAGAAGATGGGATGTCAGGCCAGAATATAAGCCAGCAAAAGCAGAAGCACCAGCTGAGATAAAATGCAGCATGGCCTGAGCCTGGGAGGGTCATGGGGTGCCATCTCACATGAGACCACTCTGCAGCAGCTAGGAAAAGCCTAGCACATACCTCTTCCCCATTCGTGTTCTCTCTCAGGCAGTGGGTGCTGTGTGGATGCAGCAGTTGTGACCTCCATCCTCTCCAGCCCCATTTTCTGGTTGGAGAGGAGGCACAGCTCCTGTGAGGGGTGATGCTTTCCCCAGGAGTTGCACTCAGTGTAAAGGGGCTTCAAGAGAAAGTGTCTGCAAAGGATAAAGAGGTGTCAGCCCTAGGTGAGCAAGTGTCTCTCCTTTACTGAATGGCTTCAGGAGGAAGCTCTCTGTCATGCAGGAAAGTAATGGGGATGTTCCAGGAAACTGTGATGAAATATGAGATCCTGGTTTCATGGTTGTCCCACCTGCATTTAACTCCCCTTTCCCTAGGGGCAGAACAGTGTGTGAACAGACATCATTCAATGGGCAGTGGGCCATAGGTGATGTTCTGAGGCAAATGCAGAGTTAGCAAATGGAGGAAAATCACTGTGGACACCTTGCTCCCTCAGCCACCCTCCTGCCAACTGGGCAGCCAAGTCCTGAAACCTATTCTGTGGGTACAAAAAGGGTCTTGTCCCTGAGAGCTGTCACTCCAGCATGAACGATGAGTCCTAAATTCACAAGCCTGCTCCCCTGGATTCACCTAGCCCAAGAGTTCCAAGGGGAAATGCCAGCATCAAACTCTACCCACTTCTCAGAGCATCCCATTGTGCAACCCAGCTCAACATCCTACTGAGCTCTACCTGTTATGGGCCATGAGTTCCCCGAAGGCTCACCATCTGCTGCTGTTGCCAGTGGCAGGGGCTGTGCACCATGGGGGCGGGGGGGCTGTTGGATGGGTGGGTATGTGGCAGGGGGCTCACACCCACCCACAAACCCTACACCCACTATAACAGGGGGCCTTCTTGGGGCCAATTTCCCTGTGGCCCACCCACCTGTTTCTGGGTTAACCGCCCGCCTTCTCTCCCGCCACACCTTGTTGTTAATTAATTGATGTTAATAAAGCGAGAGGCTGCCCATTTCTTGCCCCGATGCCACGGGGTGCTATCTGCAGCTCCATTCCTCCCCTACACCGCAGCCCAAGCCTCACAGATGGCATCCAGATGTTATCCATATCACTGGCCCCGCACTGGGCCCCAGAATCCTACTAGTTGGACCCCACTTAAATCCCTCTGTTCAGGCAGCCTATTCTGCCTTCATTCCTGGCTGCATAGCTCCCTGAGCTGCTTCCCCCTTACAGGTGTTGTCCCCCCAGGACCTTCAGCTCTACTGGCCCTGGCCCACCTCCAGGCCAGCTGGAACCCCAGGCCCTCAGCTCTTGGGCATTTCTCGCAATGGGCCCCTGGCCCTTTGATCCTTCCAGCCCTGTCCCAAGCTTAGACCAGTCTGGGGATGTCAAGACAGGTTGAGTCTATGGCCCAACTCTGTCTGAGGTCTACCTTCCAGACCCTACAAAGTGGGTAACCCACCCAGTTGTGGGGGCTAGGGGTTAGGTGCCCCAACCCGCCTTTCACCAAGGTGGTAACTGGCCTGGCATTTCCTGGGGGCTCCCGCACCACTGAGAGCCCCACAAGGCCACCCACTCCTAGCAGGGTGCAATTTAAGGTCATGCCCAGGACCAGGAGCCTCCTGACCATCCCCTACAGCTCCTCCCTTACCTCCAGATGATACCAGCAGCCCTGCAGCCAGGTGATGTTGTTGCCTGGCCTCCAGCAACAAAATGCTCTGTTTATATGGGCAGCCCTGAATCTAAAATGGCTGCACTAATCAGGCACCTGCCAGCTGCTGTCTTCTGGCCCCTAAAGTGACAGGCACAAACAGTGCCCTGCCCACTCCCCAACATATCCCACACACACTGCAGCATAGACCTCCCCCCCCCCACATACCTTCATAAACCCCCCACAAATCCACCCCCAACTACCCCCACACAATATACAAGAGTAAGAGTTTATTTTAAGCTATTTAAGCTATTATGCAATCACCTCTATATACACTATGCAAACACATGTAAATCAAGACAAAAATATTTTTGAAATAAAATTAAAATATGTTATAGTAGATGTTAGATTTTTAATATATGATCTGTTGTTTTTTTTCTGTTTTCAAGGTGGCACCCCCCCCCCCCCCC